TTGATTAAATAAATACACAGCAGGCATTTGGCAATGAACCTCTTTTTTCTGTTGTGGCTTTTAAAAATATTATAGTGCAGATTTGGATTCCTTTTATCTTCAATTTAATTATATTCTTGGGCCTGGGTGGCAATGCCAGGTGCTCCCTTTGCTCCTGATTAATTCTGCCTTGCACAGATCAGGCTGCTGGGACAGTTTATAAAAAAAAAAAAAAAACTTTATATTTGCGCTACTGTCCCCCAAAGCTATCAGCATTCTGATGACTTCAGTCCTGACCAGGAGACTGCAGAGGTCTTAACACATTTCTGCCATAAGAAAGGCTTGGTGATTTAATCTCCTCCCCCAGCACCCCCGTTTTTTTCAAGAATTTAAAATAAGGGCTGGCAAGATGGCACTTGTCACCAGCCTAGATGGCCTGGGTTTGATTCCTGAGACCTCCATGGTGGAAGGAAAGAACTAACTCCTGCAACTTGCCCTCTGACCTCCACATATGTGCTCCCCCCAATAAATGAATAAAATGGAGAACTCATGAATGGGAGTTAGCCAGAGTATGGAACATCTATACCATACGAAGCACTGAGAGGTGGGAGAGGGGCTGTCTTCCTGGAGTGGAAATCAGTTTGGGAGAATTGGAAACCACAAGTGGAATGGCTCGACTAGACTGTGATGGAGGCTTTCACAAGGCAAGGTGGTGGGACAGGGATAGACGGGCTCCTCTCACTGAAGTCATTCTGAAAGAGCTCAGAAGGGGAGCTTTTATCTCAGAGGACAGGGATTGGCCAAGGAGCCGGGAGCTAAGAGGCAGATATAGAGTAGGACAATCTGCATGGGGGAGCAGGTGCATGGGCGTGTATGTATGTATTTGAGAGAGCAATAAAACCAGACAGAGAAGCAGGACCAGCTTATTGTCAGGCAAATAGAGGAGCTGCAACGGAGCCCATCAAAGATTATTATACCGATGATCTGCTTATGGCGTCTGTTCAGTGGGTAACTGAGGTTTGTGGGTGGGCGGGGGAGGACTGGGGCAGGGAGATCTGTGCTGAATAACCTCTGTGCCAGTGGATGGGAGGGGGGTGGTGGTGAAGCTAAGGAATAATTCAGAAACACAATGATCAGATTGGAACACTGATTTAACAAGAGGAATGAAGGAGATGCCAGAAATATCTGCACTTGTTACCCCAGGGCTGAGGGTGCAGTGATGTCACAGGCAAACAGAGGGAGCCCTGCGGGAAGGAGGGGAGGGCTGAGAGCAAGGTTGCTGGGGATACCTGGAGCCTGTGGGCCTGAGGTGCACAGAGCTGTACAGCAGAGCCCTGTTAGCGCAGCTCTAATTCCAGAGAGGTGCAGACTGGCCTGTGCTTGGTAAGGTAGTTCCCAAGGAGGTGGGGGGGGGTGCTGTAAAATGGAAAGAGCAGAGGAGGTCCTGGGTCACCCACAGAACCAGATCAGAGCTGATCATCACAGCTTGCCTGGGGAAAACCAGAAGCTGGGGCCCGTTTTCAGCCAGGATGTCAGGAACAGTAGCAATAAAAGCTGGACATTATGGGCCATGGCTCTCAGCCCGGGGAACACAGAGTCCAAGTGGGTGAATTCTGGCCTCCTAGAACTGTAAACTTCTTGTGTTTTTCTGCCTCCTTCATCCAGGAAAGAAACTCATTGGAGGATGCTTAACTTTGAAGCCAGCTTAATTTTTTTTTTCCTCTGGAGATCTGGTTGTTGTCTTGAGACAGGGTCCTTCCTCTGTTGCCCAGGCTGGTCTAGATCTTGTGGTTCTTCTGTCGCAGCCTTCCCAGGATTGAAAGGACACCTGATTTCCCTCAGGATATCTTCACATAGCTGTCTCTTCGGAAGCTTATGGTAGAGCTCTCCCGAGGACAGGACTACCTTAGGTTTGCGCTTCTCAGAGTGGGTGTTCTATGCTTCCACATTAGCGTTCAGGAATGTTTGGTAGAAACTTTTGGACTGGTTTTGATTTTCTTCTTTTCCTAATGTTTTCCATGTCCCTATTCTCTTACCCTTCTGTTCTTTCTACTTTTGTCCTTTCCTTTGAAACTTTACCAATTACGGTATCTTTTGGGAAAGATACTGTAATTCAGCTTATTGATTGAATTATTTCTCTGAGGCTAATTGAAGACTCCAATATCTGGCTAGTATTGATAGGCTCCTGACTCAGACTCAGGCCCATCTGTAGCCCCATCCCCTCTCTCTGGTGTTTTTTTCTTTCTGGATATCTGGACAACAGGAAACTCTGGGAAAACCTTGCCCCGTATTAGTCCTGGGGGCGGGGGGAAGAGTCCACTAATGACATCACCTTTGTGTGAGAGGGAGGGACATGCCAGGACCACCTTAGACAGCAGGCACCAGCTCTGCTCTTGATAAATGACTCGTCTCTGTTTTTTCACCTGTGAAAGGGGCTGATGAGAATGCTGTCTTTGGAAATGTGTTGGGATTGTTAAATTAACTGGAGTGCAATGCCAGGCACAGTGGCTTCTACATACAAAATGACCCTTAAATATTAGCTCTATGAACTCATCTTTGGATGTAAACAGGTCTTGGGTGAGAGACGTATGTATTCATGGAATTTTTTTTTCTTCTGGTACAAAATACCAGGAAAGGATCTAGAAAGCAAAAAATTCTCTTTCAGCTTGCCTTTGATTTCTAGCTAGCATCATGTTTCAAGACATCTTACTTGGTAACGTGAAGTTGCCTTTGCTCACAGACAAATGGTGTGGACATTGTTGGGGAGAGGCGGTGAGTCACTGTGGCGCCATCAGGGTTTCCGTCTCCTCTCTGCGCCAGGCAGTGAATGATTGCAGCACATTAATTTCTCTGTCAGAACCTGGGTTATGCACCAATAGATACGCCCAGAGACCGTGTCCCAGCACATGACGGGAGCAAAAGCTCTGTTGTCAGAGTCATAAGACAGATCCTGGTCCTTGTGTTGCCACTGCGTGTCGGGTCACTTCGACAAAGAAACTTTATCACATGTAGCCTCAGCTTTCTCTTCTGTGGCATGGGCATAATGAGCTTCCTGACTGTGGTACATGGGACTGTTGAATGACAGAAGGTGAAATGTTTTATGCTTGGTTTGTGACTGTGGGGCTGGTTCAGACTGTTCTTGAACTCCTCATCCTATTGCCTCAGACTCGTGGGTGCTGTACCATCAACCTAGGTTTGCTTTAAACACTTAAAAGGGGTTAAATGAGCTGGGCCTGTTGGCAATAGGCCTATAATCCTAGCTATTCGGGAGCCTAAGATAGAAAGATAGCAGTTTCAAAGCCTTCCTGAGCTACAGAGTGAGTTTAAAGCCAGCCTTTAAACAAAACAAAACAAAACAAACAACAAACAACAAAAACAAAACAACAAAAAACCATCAGAAGAGGGGCTGGGAATATAGCTCAGTGGCAGAGCACTTGCCTAGCAAATGTAACATATGCAAGGCCCTCGGTTCAGTCCTCAGCACTGACCAACAAGTCAAATAAATGGGATCAGTTACTTTAATTATAAAGCCACCCCTTTCTATGGAATTGTCCTCTAACTTCTGGCTTTAGAAATGACATGCCAGAAATGTCAGGTGTATTTGGAGCCAGTTCCTGAACCGACATGGAGATGGCCTGAGAGACTCAGAGTGTAATGAAAAAGAGAAGGCAAGCTTTATCTCAGATGGGTTTGCAGACTTTAGCATGTGTCGGAATTCCCAGGCACGCTGGGTCCCACACGTAAGTTTCTGCCACCGAAGGTCTCTGCATGGGGCCTGAGCCATGCCCAACATGCTTCCAGGTGATGCTCAAATTACTGATCTGGGTACCACTTTCAGAGAATTAAGTCAAACAGGAAAAAAAAAAATCTTCCTTCTGGAACAGAGGCAGGCAGAGCGAAGATCTATGTGGGTATATAGGTTTGGAAAAAAAAAAAGAGATAGGAAGACAGAGATGATGAGCAGATTGGGCAGAACAAAGGGAAAAGTCGAGCTCCATCACAAATGCAAGTCGGGGTGGTGGTGGGGGGAGTTGCTAGGTGATGATGAGGGAGAGAGGTGAGTTTCTACTGTAGGAAAAACCAGGTGAGAGGCAGGAGCATGGAGTTGGAAACCTGCACCCAGGAGGCAGAGGAGGTGGAAATGTTTCATTAAGGAGCAGGGAGCAGGGTGGTTGGTCTTGGTGGGGTGGAAACAGGCTAGGAGAGAGAGGTTTCTCCGTTGAGTAAGGGGACAGCTGAGACTTGGCAGAGAGGGGTAATTTCAGGGCTGCGCGGTTTGGCTTGGGAGCACAGTGCAATGGGATTGGGAGAAAGGGGGTGGAATTTAGATGTGCGACCTGCCCCGTAGCTTTCTCGCTCTCTGCATTTATCACATCACATCACACCCAGCAAGACAGGCCCCCTCCTCCTGGCTCATTAGAAGATTTGATTCGGCTGGGCTCCCGCTGTCAGCAGCTGTCTGGGGCAAGATCTTTATGCTCCCTGCTCCCCAGCGCAGCCACCAGCCCCTCCAGCCTCGCAGCCAGCAGCAGAGCTCATTAGGAAAGCACCCTTCCCTGGATTTTCAGCTACTTGGTGGCCTGAAAAGAGTTAATTCCCACTCTTGGCTGGGGGGCAGAGCAGCTGCTGTGGGCTGGGGAGAGAATTCTCTCCTGAGCCGCAGCCAAAGGAGCTGCAGGTTAGTGAGGCCGAAAGGAGGAAGGTACAGGATGCGTGCCAGGTCAGCTCTGCTTGGGGGCATCTCCTGCCTGCGTCCTGCCAATGAGGATGGGCGTGCAGACTGTGCCCGGGAGCTGAGCCGCCGCCTGCTGGGTGTAGGCTGCTTCAGTATTTACTGGATGTGACAAGCGGAGAGAAGAGCTTTTGGGGCCGCTTGCTGCCTGGCTCAAATGGTGGGAGGTGTGTTGTGCATGCATGCTTCTGTCTGTGTGTATGCATGCGTGAGCCTATGTGTCCCTGCAAACATGCCTTCCACCTGCCAAGGCTTTCACTGCTAAAAGAAAGATCTACTCTTTCCGTAGAGCTCCTTAACCCGAAGCCTCTCTGACCATCCACTTGGCAAAGACCTGCAGGCCATGAGGACCGGTCAACGACAGTGAGTATTGGCTCTGCCCTTCTCCTTCCTCGATGGGGTGTCGGAAAGCTGGTTGCATTATACATATTTAATTAATTTGCCTCTTCATGCATATTGATTGCTTTCTCCCTGCCGAGCTTAGTTTCTCTTCCCTTCTTTATAAATCTTTGCTTTTTTTTTTTTTGCTCTTATACCCCCCCCACCTTGAATGTCATCTCTTCCTACACTGTCTGCTCCAGTCACGTGTGACTTGGTGCCCACTTCCGAGAATACATGTACTATGGGGTGGGCGCATCACATCTTTGAACTTTCCAGGCTCTGGCCAACCCCTTCTCTGCCCCTTATAAATCAGTCTGGGGCTAAATGGGGTAGGAACCCTGAGGGTTCTGGATCCTGGAACAGACAAGGCAGCTGGTTCTCATTTGTGAGGCCAAGGCTGACCTCACTCAAGGGGTGATTTGGGAGGTGCTGGGAGTGGGGGAGAGGAGACAACTGGATAGCACTAGCAAGCCAGTGTGGGCTGACAGAACGAAAGGGAAGGAGGGGTGGTAGGCAGGGACTGAGCCCAGTTGTCCCCTGCTTAAAATGACCTTGCCTGTGGTGTGTGCGGGTGGTGATCTCTGGACTGCCTGGCAGCAGAATAATGAAGGCCCCTGGGGACACAGTCTATAAGCAAGAGGCAATGAGGCATAGGTGTCCCAGACATGCTTTCTGGAGACACTTAGGGCTGTTAAAGGGCTTTGATGGCCTGACTTCTGGAAAGCAGGTGCAATCCCAGTTAAGACATGATTAAGGAAATGGCCCCTGTTGTCAGGGGACATGACCCGGTGGGATGAGCCTTTACATAAAAACTGATTCTTGTTGTTGTTGTTGATTTTTTTTGTTTGTTTGTTTTTGGGTTAACAAAGTCATTCTTCTATTTTGTTACCAATATAATTATTCTGAAAGTGATTTTTAAAAGTATTTGCGAAACGGTCAGGGTGATACCAAACCAACTTAAATGGCACAGTCACGGAGGATTCTTATCTATCTAAATTAGGTTTCTTTTAAAATGGAGTCTACGTTTGGTGGCAGGGTTCCCCAAGGAGACCTTTTATGGATAGGTAGGCAGCTCTTCCTAGCAGCTCTCTTTTGTGGGAACAATGGTCTGAAACGCTGCCAATGACACCCATGGGAAGGAGAGGCTGCAAGGCAATCAGCCCTCAGCCTCCATATCCCCTTCCCCATCTCCAAGTCTTCCCTGTTTTGGGTTAAGAATGGGCCAGGCTGAGGAAGGCTCACCCCCTTATGAGCTAGAAAGACTGGCTTACATATTCATTTCTTCAGACAGTGTTTGGGATCCCTGACAAGGAGCATGCCCAGTGGTGGGGTGTCTGATGGCTTATCTCCAAGTCCCTGCAAACCTCCCCCCCCACACACATACCTTGCTCCCTTTTTCTCCAACTCTGGCTCATTTCCACCTGGGACAGGTGTCCTTGGAGGGAGGTGGGAACCAGAGCAGCATCCAATCAGATTATTTTGGAGCAAGTGTGCTGGCCTCTTCTCTCTGGTCCCTTCCGGGCTGGTCACTTGGGCATCAGTCTAGCGAGCTAAAGAGAACAGTCATTTTTGGTTTGCCAGGCCCATGCCTCCCTAAGGGTACGTGTCCCAGTTTTGGTTGATGGCCAGTGGTTGGGGAAGTAGGAACTTCTGACCAACAGTCAACAATGTGAAGCCACCTGACATTTGCTCCTGTCCATCTTTGATTGGCTGCCCTTGCTATAAGAATGAGCTGACATCTGTGAGGGCTGCGGGGAAGCACTCAGTGGCTGGCGAGCCATTGGAATGGTGTGTCATGCAGACAGGTGTGAGGGGGTCTAAGAGCCCTCTTACAGCAGACTCTTTGATTTTAGGTGAGAGAACGTGAAAGGGTAAACCCCTGAACCCCGCAGTCTTAGTTCCTGCCCTGACGTCCCTGCAAACCAGCCCAGGGGGTAACCATAAGCGGATGCCTGTATGGCTGCCTTACTGATGCCACGCAGGTAATGAACTGATGACCTGTCTTCCTGTCTCTGCCCTTTTCTTCTTTGCCCCACCTTCTGGTCTGTCCGGTCTGTCTCTCCTTCTGTAAGCTCTAGGCGGTCCTCATCCTGCGGGGCCTCCAGTGTGCAGCACACTTTCCTTTCCTGTGTGCTTCTTAGGAAGTTACGGCCTTGCAAGTGGGGCCTGCCTTAGTTCCGTGTCCTCTTGTTGACTTGGTAGGCTCTCTTGGTGATGACTTTTGGGGTAGGATAATGTGCTGTGTGTGAACTTATATGAAAGTCTGTGAGTTACTGGTTCAGGGGTTTGTAGAGAAAAGACGAGGAAATGATTCTTTTCTTCCCTTTTCTCTTCCCTTTTTCTTTCTTTCCTCCTTTTCCTTCCCTTCCTTCCATCCTCTCCTTCCTTTCTTCTGCCCTGTCTTACTTCCTCTTTTTCCTTCCTTCCTGCCTGCCTTCCTTTTGTCCAGTCTTCCTCCCTTCTTTCCTTCCTTTCTTTTTTCTTCCTTCCCTTTTTCCTTCTTTCCTTCATCCCTCTCTCTTAGCCTCTTACTCCTGTGTCTGCTCACATCATTTCCTGCTAAGGAGATTGAGATTCAGGTCTTGACTAGAAAGATAGAAAACCATTTTGTCCCAAAGTAAATTTGCTTTTGTGAACTCTTTGAATGACTCAGAGTTGCCTTAGGAGTAAGCAGTACCCTTTTCAAGTAGCCTGTGCCAAACCTTGGCGTATAAAACCTGGCATGGACTTGCCGCTTTCTGAGAGTTCTGTTTGTTGCTTTTGAGGGCAGTGACCTGAGTGTTTTTGTGACTGATAATCCTAAGGCACCGGAGTGGGCTGCAGGTTGGAGCCTGACCTGTGTGGTACGGCCTGAGCAGGACCTTTGCTTGAATTCACAGTAGTGATGACTCAAAGGCCTTTTAATCAGTTGCTTGAATGGCCTGGTGCTGGGGACCCTGTGATTTGTAAGAGTGAGTGGACACATAAGATGCTCTCTGTTTCAGGAAAGAGAATGGTTGTTGCAACCGTTTTTGAAAAGCCACAAAAGAGATGGTGGCACAGTGCAGCCCGCCTGGGCGGGGGGGGGGGGGTAGGGGCGGAGACCTGCCGACTGATTTCCTTCGGGAGAGGATATTTCTGGAAACTTGGATGCTCTAGCTCTGAGGGGCTCTGTGGAGATGTGTTGTGGAATACAAATGTCCATCCCTGCCAAGTATAATACCATCTCAGTAGACAAATGTCAGATAAGATTTCTGTGAACGAAGACAATGAGCAGGCCAGGGAATGGAAATCCATTTGAAGTCAATGGGAGTGACTGAATTGGAGGACCTCTAACTCTCTTATCTAGTGTTGGGATTTGTGGGAAAGAGGGAAAGGAAGACAGGCCATAAAGGACTTGCTTTCTGCATGAGAGGATGACATATTGTAGCGCTATTTCCATGGCAATATCTACCACCGTGCACATGCTAATTCCTTTTGTAAGTCAAACTGAAGTCCTGGTGTGATTATACCAATTCCCCCGCCCCACTTACTTTTGCCTTCAGCGTGAGAGATGGTCATGGTTAAAGGTCAGAGGTTAGCTAACTTCTGTTGTCCTGAGTCTGAAAGTAAATATTTTCAGCTTTGCTACAGTCTGTATAGTCAATATTGCAACTACCTAACTTTGCCCTTCAAGTTGAAGGCATTTTTAGACAGTATGTGGACAAATAGTGGTGTTGTGTTCCTATAACACTGTGTACACAGACACCTCACAGGACTATAGTTTGCCAGCCCCTGGCTGAAGGTAAATAGGATAATTTAAGCAAGCAGAACTGTCAAAGGGGACTCTGGCTCTGCATTGTGGGCATCACCCATTGCTCTTCCATCCCCGCTGGTCCACAGCCATTTGTGTTCTTCTAGCCTGGCTTGGTGGGATGAGCTGAGAGAAGCTGACTGGGAACTGACCTGCCTTGAAACCCCACACTCTGTGCTCTGACTCTCTGTTGTGTGCCCCTGCATTTTGAGGCACCCCCTCCTCTGTGTGCTGTCCTTGCTTTCATGGGTTTGTTGTTAGGGGCGCCAGACACCACCAACCCTGCCTCTTTGCCCTCCCGGTGGGAAAGCAAAATGTAGATTGTTATTTTGTAACTGGTGTGTTTCCACTCCCCACAGAGAATCCTAATTTAGAAGTTCTCCCAAGCTAATGACCCTCATTGACTTACCATCAACTTGCCCTGTCAGCTTTAAAAAGCCTTCAGCCTTGAGGGGAAGGGCAGAGGAGGGGCTCCACACCTAATACTATTCCCATAGTGAGATGAGGCTGAGCACAGCCCTTGCCTCTCTTCTTGCTGATGGACTTTTCAGGGGCCACCTGGGGTAGGGAGGGCAGCAGGTCCAGGGGCCCTTCATGGAGCTGGCAGTTGTGGTGGTGACAGCTCCCTCCCTTCTGCCCCGAATCTGCTGCAGGAACAAGGGCATGAGGACTCGACTGGGATGCCTGTCGCACAAATCAGATTCCTGCAGTGACTTCACAGCCATTCTTCCCGACAAACCCAACCGTGCTCTCAAGTGAGTACTGTGGCTGCCTTGCATTCCTGGGTGTCTTTGGGACTTTTCTCTCTAGTGAACTGTTGGCCAGATAAACTATAGGACAATAAATTCTGCTCTCTTGGCAGCTCCTTTCCTACTCCCGCACGTGAGCGACAGGAAGGCAGCATAGCTCAGGTGGAAACCCTCATTCCCTTAAGAAACAGTATCGCCCGTTTGTGCCTGAAGCTGTGGATGGGGAGGGGTATTTCTTGATTCTACTTACTTGTCTACCTGAGCTCTCAGTTTGGAAATAAGCATCCAAAGTTACGCTAAAAATACACTGAGATTCAGCTCATCTGGATTCAGCACCTACTCTGAGCAGTCACGGTACTCAGTGATGTCACTGGTATCACCTTGGTTCACCCTCCCTCACCTCTGTAAGGGGCTCTGCTGTCTCCGTTCCAAGAGGTGAAGAGTTGGAAGTGACAGTAAGAGCTGGAGTTGTGAGCTGAGCCTCACTCTTTTCGCTCCAAGCCTAGGTTTCCCCCTCTCCTCCACTGTCACCTTGACATCACAAAATCACGTAGCTGCATACCTTTATTGTTCTGACTGGAAGTGATGTATGGGATTCTATGAATACCCATCCAGGGTGATTCTTTTCTCTGGTGTGGGGGGGGGAGCAGACCCAGAGCCTCAGTCATGCTAAGTAAGCACTTTACCTCTAAGCCAAATCCTCCCCCCACCTCTCACCGCAACACACACACTTGGAGTGTTCCCCAGTTATTGCTTGAAAATGTGCCAATTTACAAGAGCAGAACTGCAAGAACCCAGGTGTGGTATGCATTTGCTCTCCACCAATCCAAGGAGTCCTGGGCCAGTCTGAGCTGTGGTTGGGGGAGAGATGTGTCAGAAACACTCAGAGAGATGCTATTGCCTTCTAGGAGACTCTCCACGGAAGAAGCGACGAGGTGGGCAGATTCCTTTGATGTGCTTCTCTCCCATAAGTGTAAGTAGAATTCAGGTCACATCACTCTGAAACAAAGCGTCCATGTGACAAGACACATAGAGAATGTCTTCTAGGCTCAGGACACTGTGCTGGGATCCCAGCTCCCTATAGTCTCGCACACGACAGAGAGACGAGAACAATTTTAAAGGTAATGGGCTTAGGCTCTTCCTGCCTGTTTTCTGTATTTAAACCATAGTCCCAGTAGGCCCCAGGCTCTCAGGAATCATATCATAATCATATCATTTGGTATTTATCAGATATGTACTCTCATTGTTGACCTGTCTTGGTTACTAGATACTTGGGTGGTCATGGTGGAATCTCTGTTTTGTTTTGATTTTTTAAGCAGATGCCATTAAAAGTGACTTTGCTTTTCCAGGTCTGGGAAGGTAGCTCAGTGGATGATTACTTACCTAGCATGTGTGAGGCCCTCAATCCTCCTTAATCCTCTTCTTGAAACAGGGTGTCTTATAGTTTAGGCTGACCACCCTCAGATTTGCTATATAGCCAAGGATGGCTTTGAACTTGGGATTCTCCTGCTTCCGCCTGCCACATTTTAAGCAGGAGTGTCTCGCAGTGGCTGGCCTCTCGGCAATTCTGATGAGAAAGAATTCGGTTTAGGAGCGATGGGTGACTCCTATCACCCATCACCCAAGAGGTTCCAGGCTAGATCTCACAGAGGGGAATGTGCCCCTTTCTCCAAGTCACTGGAGAGTTCTGGGCTACTGAGTGAGCTGAACCTTGCGGGTATTTCAGCAATCCCTTGCATTGACAGAGTTCACTCTTTATCTCGAGGGATGACTATCTCAGCTGCATTGTGCCCCCACTTCCTGGCTAGAACTCCACTCGGCTCTCCCCTCCCCTCTCCCATTTCCTCCCTGTTCAGCTGTTGTGTCTTTTGTTTCCTACAAAGGCAGGAAGAGTTGTGCACATTGCAGTGTGCAGAGGGCAATTTATCATTAGTCAAACTTTTCAGCTCTCTCTCTTCTCTTTTTTTTTTTCTTCTCATCATGAGCAAGTCCAAATTTGTTGGGCTCTGAAATCCCTCTGGCATTAAGCACATGGAAGTGGCAGAGCAGGGGCGGAAGGGAGAGAGGGGGTGTTCTGAGGAGACAGGAAGGTTGCAGACAGATATTTGGTATTCCTCCTCAATTCGTCACAGTCAGTGTGAGATCCGGGAGCAGAAGGGCTGCATGCATTTTGGTGTGTTGTTCCTACTTAGTTGGAGAATGTGGTTTTGGACAATTAACTAGAAGGCTGTGAGTGGGATTCAGCTCTGTGTGTTCTCATTGTTGCTCTATCGTGGTTCCTAGATATAGGGGTGGTCGTGGTGGAGTCCCTTGGTTGTTAGCAGATGCCAAAGGCTGCTGTCAGCTCTCTTCTCCTCTCACTCTGTCTTATTTATAACACGGATTTATTTGTGTGTGTATGTGTATGGGTATGTAGGTGTGTGGGTTCATGTGTGCCTGTTGAGGTCAGTGGATAACTTCTGGAAGTTGGTTCTCTGCTTTCACTGCGAGGGTCATGGAGATGGAATGTAGGTGTCAGGCTTGGTTGTGAATGTTCTTAGCTACATTATTATTATTATTATTATTATTATTATTATTATTATTATTATTATTATTATTTTATTGGTGGTCCCTCGGTAAACGTGGAGCCTGCCAATTAGGCAAGATGAGCTGGCCAATGAGATCTAGGAACCTTCCTGCCTCTGCTTCCCTGGGGATCCTATCTTTCCCAGCCCTTCTATCTTTTCATGTGGGCACTGGAGATCAGGATTCAGGTCCTCACGCTCGCACCATGAGCACGCTGCCAACTCAGCCATCTCCCCAACTGAACAAACACTTTTGAATAGATTTTAGAATAAATGGCAATATCTAAGAATAAGTGCATATTACAAAAAAGAAATTGTGACTCTGGTATTCCATGGGATATACGTAGGCAGGGAAATAATTCAGTGTGGGGTATACGGCATATGTAACTCACAGCTGTGCCCTGATATCGAGCTCACATGGTGAATTTGCCAAGGTAGTAGTGTATGCATGATGATATTTAGAATTAGACGGTAATGCTTTTCTGAAAAGGAGGTTCTTGACTATTTTCCTGGAGTCACGTCCTGTGGGACAAATGTCACTAGCACTTTATATCTTCTTTTCTGGCTGGCTTTGATTCAAGGTCATCTTCAAGTTCGGTTTCTATTTCAGCCTCACACTGATTCACTCAGTTCAAGTCCCTGAGGCTGTTTCCTCATTCCAAAATGGGGTTAGAGATGCCTGCCTGCTCACTACCACCTGCAGACAGGAAACTGAACAAATAAGTGGGCACACGTGACGTGATGATACACTGATGCGATGGCTTTTTGTGTGTGTGTGTGTGTGTGTGTGTGTAATGATACATTTATTTATTAGATGCAAAACAAATACCTTGACAGTGAATTTTGTATCCAATTCTTACTATTAAGCCAGTATGAGACTTAGAGATTCAGTTTTATCTGTTTGAGTGAGTGACTCTTGGATCTGCAGACACTTGGTCCTCTAGTTAAAGAAGCTCTTGGTTTCCAGGAATGCTGTAACACTTCCCTGAGATAGTGAGATAGGAAGCCCGATAACTGGTCACTGGCACCAATTTGCTACTTTGCTAAAGTAATTAAAAAAAACCAAAAAAGGCTTTTTGAACGAAAGTTCTTGGAGTCTGAGGTTCTGCTTTTTTTTTTTTTTCTAATTTTTTTTTCTTCTGTTTAGTATAGAAATAAAAAGCCAGCGGCATGAGAGTTCTTAGGAAGAGAAGAGTATTTAGGTAGGGTCACTGGCAGAAGAACTTCATTCAACCTTTTAGGATTTGGATGTTTATTCCCTGTGAAGGCTGTGGAGAAATCAGAGCCCAGGCTTAAAAAAAAAAAAAAAAAAGAGGCAGATTTCTGTGAGTTTGAGGCTAGCCTGGTCTACAAAGCGAGTCTAGGACAGCCAAAGCCACACAGAGTTATCCTGTCTCAAACCCCTTCCCCCCAAAAATGTGCTGACAACTTTCTAAAAGTAAAAGATGCTTTGCTACCCTTGTTCTGCTATTGTTTTGGACACTTATTTACTTATTTCTTAAAGGTGTGCTTATTCGTTATGCACAGGGTCTGTTCAGCAGGGAGGTAGCCCCAGAGAAAGAGGCCATGCTCTATCTCTGACGAAGAAGGAAGGTCTTTGAGAGCTCAGGTTCTCAATGCTCACAAACAATGCAAGGAAACGAGCCAGTGCTCTCATCACACACCAGGTGGCCTCGGGATTGCAAACAGAATCCTGACTTTCAGCATGCTCTTAAATTCTGCCTCATCAGTGGCAGAAGTCCTACTAGTCTGGGGCGATGCTTTCCAGTTGTCAGGTACCAGGCTTTTGGACTTTTAAGTAAAACCTACCAGCTGGCGTCAGATCTGTGATCCTGATTCTTGTCCATCCCCCACCCCCTCCCATTTACTCCTGAAGAGCAAGGTGGCCCTGATGGAAACCTTGGCTATTTAGGAAATCACATTTCTCACCTGTCTGACAAGGGAGCCGGAACCAGATGTGTCAGAGGCTGAACTGGACTCTGTTCTTCCTCCAGGGTGTTCTCTGGAACAGACTAAGGCTGGGAGATAACCAGTCACCTGTGGCAGGTGGCTTAACCAGGCGCTGCCTGCCTTCGAGGTTATGTAAGAGTGCTTTTCAGCTGAAATGGCTCCAGCAGCCAGAAGGGGGACCAAAGTACCTGTGTTCTTTCCTTGGAGCAGTACAAAGGCGCAAATCTCAGGCAAAGGAAGATAACTTCACTATCTTCAAAACCTTAGAATTAAAACAAAACAAAACAAAATGTGGGAGGAAAATATTTAGAGTGGTTTTCTTTCCCATTGTATTTGTTTACAAATGAGCACAGGGAAAAAGCACTCATGGATGCCTGAGAGGCGATCACTTGCTAAGTGCTTTTCTTAAAACCAACAAATGCAACGGAAATTGACATTGATGATGGCTTCATTAACTGGAAGGATTTCTAATATGTGCTCATTTGGAAGCCTTTCCCCTGCTTATCCAATTACAATTAGACTTGATATCTGAATTGTGCTTATAGTCTGCCCTGGAAGGTGATGACTGTGCGTGTGTGTGTGTGTGTGTGTGTGTGTGTGTGTGTGTGTGTGTGACCGCGCACTCGTGTGTTTACATGCCTAGAAATATTTCTGCTCTGAAGATAATACCTAACAGAACCAAATCCCAGTTTGTGGGAGATCCATTCTGTTTGCCAGTTTGAAGAACAGGGAAAAAACAGTGTGTTTACCTTTTGCTTTTATTTATTTTTTTAATGAAGTTTAGACATGCACTTATTTGTCCTGCTTTTTGAGAGATATTTAGCCCTGAACTCTGAAGAAATATTCTTTTTCTGCTTTTCCTTCCCTACATTCTTTCTTGTTTCTTCCCTCCTCTCTCCTCCCCTCCCCTCCCCTATTCTCTCCTCCCCTTTGTTCTCTTCTCATTTCCCCACTCCCTTTCTCTGTTTCATTCAGTTTACCTCCTCCTTTTGTCTTTTCCTTGCTCCTGCATTCTTCCTTCTTTTGTTTTTTTTTTGGACAGAACATTTGAGTTACAGTTTTAGTTATACCTGAGGCTGTATGAGTCTCCCCTTTCACTTTTATACCTGATCCCACCTAGACTGCCCAGTGCCTCCCTCTAGGACTGATGTGGAAGACAATCTTGTTTGATAGTTTGCATGGAACCTGATGGAAGGCTTCTGCTCACTTGACCCCATTGGGCCTGGGGAATGATGGGTAGGGAAAACAGGACCACTAGAGCCCTTTCGCAGTCCTAGCATTGTCTGTCTCTGCAAAACAAGACCAATGGAGAAGACTTTGGGGCATAAAACTTAGCCCCCTTTCAGATAATGGTTGAAACATAAAAACGCATAGTAAGTTAAGCTGATCACGTAGCCACTAAGCAAAAGATCCCAAATAAAAACTACGTGGTCAGCTTGTGGAACACTACATTGTTCTT